TTTTTATTTAATATAATTTTAATGTAATTTTAATATCTAATCATTTTAATATTAATTGTTTTTATTTAGTTAAATTTTTCATTTCATTTAAATATTTAAAATAAGACCTGACATTTATTTTGGACCTGACATTAGAATTTATTTTGTAACTGGACTATTTACTCCCCTGTTATCATTTAGGAATGCCAATGAATCCTGCCATGGCTGGCTATGCTGCCACACCAATGATGCCAAACATGATGCCCGCTACTATGCCCATGATGCAACAAATGCAACCCATGCAATGTAAGCATCCCTACTGCTCATGTTGTGCATCTCTGATACAGTAGCATAAACTGTTAAATGCTTACTCTCTTCCTACTGCTTGTTTTGGACGTAGCTATGATGATGCCAACTGCAATGCCACAAGCCGTACCTGCTGCAACACCGGCTGTCAACACACAGCACATGGAGGCTCAGCAACAGGCCTTTATCAATCAACAGGCTCTGCTTCTGGTGAGTCCACCACTCAAAACACATTTAGAGCAGGTGAAATCCGGGTTTTTTTTTTTTTTATATCTATTTTTTATGATATGTGTAAAGAAAAATTTTTTTGTTTTTCCCCATAGGCTCAGCAGATGACCATGCAGGCGATGACACTGTCCCAGAAGCAGCAGCAGGAAGAGGTGCGAAAACGTGAAAAGGAGTCACAGAGACAGTCACCACGTCAGCGGCGGCGCTCTCCTCCACGTGCACGTTCACCTTCACGCTCACCCTCACCCAAACCCCGAAGCCGCCCCCAGGTAGAAAGAGCCATCCCTCAGACCCCCAAAAAAGCCTCAGAGACCCTTCCAAAGCCCCGCAGGCCAGAGGTACAAGCACAATACTGACCAGTGCCTGTGTTTTCTATAACTTTATGTTTACGCTTCTGACTTTTAATCTGAATTAATTAATTTGTTCTTTAAGGCACAGCCTGAGACAGAGTTAGATCACAAGGAAGATCAAGAATCCTTTCAAGATAAGAGGGATTTTTTTCAAAAGATTGGTGAGTGCACACTGTCAAAGAAAATCCTTAAAATGGCTAAAATAAAATTGCATAAAAGATTTTCACTATCTTTGTGCATCTCAGGTACGTCAGAAGCACGCCCAAAGCCTTCGTCAAAGGTTGCTAAGCCACTGATATACGCCACTCCACCGGTGACCCAACCCAAATCACCTCCGCCAGTAAAGACTGAAGGTCAGACGTTTGTCACAACACCTAGAACTAAGTTTTTGCGATAAATGTTTTATTTAAATTTAAACTCAAGTCATTAATATGTATATGTAACAAGTCATAAAACACACAGATTATAGTGTGTTACGATATAAAGCCATCATAAACTCTTCTTCACACAGTGAATCCACTCCCAGTACCTCCTAACATCCAAGAACCTGAACCAGAACCAGAACCAGAATCTCCAGAACCAACATCTCCTAAACCAGAACCTACTAGTAAAATTAGAGAGATCATCAAGCAGTACCAGAGCCGGCCCTCTCCAGAACCTAAAGCCTTCGAGCCTGTCAGGTGGGTCAAGAATTGACCTGAATTATTTTAAAGCAAGACCTTGCTCCACCTAGAGACCACTTTTCATGATCCAATGAATTCTCAATGGATGAAACCAAGCCCTGCCCTTTTTTTTCTCGTGACGTGTCCTGTTTCGCTTTGAAATATGTTGTGCTACGGAAGTAAAATGGGTTGCTAACTGTGATTCATACTGACTTAATGCAGCCTCTGCTGTAAACTGAACGCTTGCATAATATTATGTTGCTTTGACCTTTTCACTTGGAGTGATTCTTAGACTGTAAGAGGAGGAATAATGTGGACTTTGATCGTCACAGGGTTCCGGCCAAGCAATTTCTAAAGAAAAATGACCCCAAAGATGAGGCGCTGGCCATTCTCAAATCTCAGGGACCTGTCACTCAGCAGAAGGTAGATGATACCGACCTGAGTGACAAGCCATGATAAACTTTTTGAGCTCAAAGTTCAAAGTCAAGGATGTTGACCATGAATCTTTTCTGTATTATTTGTGCTGCAGAAACAGTGGGAAGAGAAGCCTCCTTCACCCCCTCAGCCCCCTGAGTCCCATGGTCCTCGTGCCATCTCTAACGATATGAAACAGAAGCAGCGTTCACTAGCTGATCTCTTCGGCTCACAGCGTTCGCATGCTCTGCCTCGAGCTCGTGAGCCCATCCCTCCTCCATCTCCCAGCATCCCCGACCCACCACTGATGTCTCCACCTGGACCTAGTAAGTGATTCTCAAATAATTTATATGAGTCACTTCTAACATATATGCAGTACACTTAGTAGGTCAAATAAGTCATAATATATTGGGTTAAATATTAAAATATTGAAATCATATTACTTAGTTTTCTTTAACCATAATTAGCACAATTAACTGAACATGGGGTGAAATGAAATAATTCACAACTTTTTAGGTTTTTCTAATGCCGCCAGGTGCTATGCATTAAAATAAAAGACTGACAATTTGTTAAGAAATATTTCAGGTGTTTCTTCTTTTTTCCCTTTCTCTAATCAAAATATTCCTGATGTTGAAAACTGGCAATTTTTAAAGAAATTTTAAAAATGATTAAGAAATAAGTCAGAAGTTTTATTTTTTCTTCCTGTAATCAAAATGTTCTAGATGTTGAAAATATAGTAATTTATTAAGATTAAAATTAACTGGACATTTTTGTCAATTTTAATTTAAGGTTTTTACGTATAAATATGTATTATGTACTGTATATATGTATTTGAAACTAATAACATTTTTATTTGTTTTTTATGTTTTGAGTTAGAGATAATGCATAACAATTTATGAAGAAATGTAAAAATATATTAAGGAAATGTTTCTTCATTTTTTCCTTCTGTGTAATAGAAAAACTGTACAATTATTAAGAAATTTTCCAAGTGTTTTTTTTTTTAATAAAAACAATTCAAGCAAATTTCTTGTCTTGAGGATATTTGTATAGATCACAAATACTTTAATTTGCAGCACAGAGATATTCATATAAATTAAAGTTAGACATATGCAAATTTGAAGCAAGCTGTGCAGCTTTCTATCTCTAAATTTCAAATACTAAGGTAAACAGATCGCATTTGCTAATGTAATCCTACCCTTTATGTGTTTCTAAAGATCAGTTCAACAGGATGGCTGAGGAGGAGAGTGTTCGCTCCCAATTGCACAGATTCTCTGCCAGCGTTTACTTTTCCTACCCCAGTATGCCTGGCAAACTCTTCCTGCGCAAGGAGGTAACTAAGTCAAGAGAGTTTGATGTGACTTTGCATGACCCTTACAAAGGTTATCACGGCTGCTTCTGGCTAACTTATGTACAGTATACTCACTGTATTTGTGCTTTCTTGTACGCAGCTGTTTTATCCCAGGGAAAAATTCAACCACCCATACATACTTAATTTACTCTGTGAGCAGGTCAGTAGCAAACATAGCAAACATTGCATTGCATTTGTTCTGTATACAATGCAAAAACTAATATATTTTATATTATTTTGTATACATCAAATTCTGGGCCACACATTGTCTACTGTTTTTGTAAACTGCAGATCATGCGAGACACTTACTCAGATTCTTGTCCGAGGATTTCACGTGAAGAAAGGCGTAAAATGAAAGACCTTTTGGGTATGACAGATGCTGTTTTTTAATAATCTGAAACCATGTACCTGTCTAATAATAATTCAGATAAACTATAATGGACAACTCAGCTAGTTTTTTTTTGTATCTCTTTGTTTTTCTCTTACCAGCGAGCTTCCATATCAGAACCAGTATCAGTTCACTAGATGATGCTATGAAGAAAAGAATTGTCATGGCAGCAAGAGACAACTGGTCCAATTATTTTGCACGTCTCTTTAATGTGAAGGTGAAATACTTGGCTTTTCTTACGTACATAATGCACAGAAACATGCATACAGAAATTTGTTAAGCACTCAGAAATGTTTTTGCATGTGTGCTTCACAGGTGGGGAACGGAGGAGATGCTCAGATTCTGGGAGTGTCACATAGAGGAATCAGACTGCTGAAGGTGGCCAGAGCTTCAGGCATAAACCCCAAACACCTCAAACTGCTCCACAGCTACAGGTACAGAACATCTGGCTGAAGCATGCTTTTTACATTTTTATTACCCTATTACTCAAATGTTTGGGGTTTGGATTTTTTTTAATGTGACCCCACTGACCCCAAACATTTGACGAGTAGTATAAAATATTCTATAGGGCTGTAGTTTATATAACTATATGTTTTTTTACTGTTCAGTTTTTCACAGGTTTTGTCAGTACAGCAACAAGCGGCTGGAAAAGTTGTGATCACTTTGAGTAATGAGGAGTTGGAACTTCACTCTCAACAAGCACCACAGATCGCTGCTGTGATTCATCTCTTCCTCATGGAGCTGATTACGGTGCTCAGTTTAAATCTTGTGATAGTAACCTTAACACATGTAGCTTTATTTTTTCATTTAAAGTCAACATACCTGACCCTATTTACTTTCTTAATACACATTCATGGTCTTATAAGGAATGGTCAATTCAGTACATTTTATTCATAAGAAAAAAAGTAAAAAAAAAAATAGAATTTGGTCAGCCTCTGAAACAACTCAGGCTCTCTTTTTCAATTTCTCAACCCCTCTCCTTCAACCACCTCCATTCTGGTATGCAAAACCTTCTTTTCACAATCCAAACAATTGCCAAAGGATTAAATCCCAACATATTTAAAAAAAAAAATTAAATTTCCTATTTCTTTCACTATATTACATACGTAAAATGGGTTGCGGTTTCATGTTGACTTTAACCATGACTTTAACTATTGTTATGTATCATGATCTCTTTTTTTTTGGTAACTATATGTTTTTTTACTGTTCAGTTTTTAACAGGTTTTGTCAGTACAGCAACAAGCGGCTGGAAAAGTTGTGATCACTTTGAGTAATGAGGAGTTGGAACTTCACTCTCAACAAGCACCACAGATCGCTGCTGTGATTCATCTCTTCCTCATGGAGCTGATTACGGTGCTCAGTTTAAATCTTGTGATAGTAACCTTAACACATGTAGCTTTATTTTTTCATTTAAAGTCAACATACCTGACCCTATTTACTTTCTTAATACACATTCATGGTCTTATAAGGAATGGTCAATTCAGTACATTTTATTCATAAGAAAAAAAGTAAAAAAAAAAATAGAATTTGGTCAGCCTCTGAAACAACTCAGGCTCTCTTTTTCAATTTCTCAACCCCTCTCCTTCAACCACCTCCATTCTGGTATGCAAAACCTTCTTTTCACAATCCAAACAATTGCCAAAGGATTAAATCCCAACATATTTAAAAAAAAAAAATTTAATTTCCTATTTCTTTCACTATATTACATACGTAAAATGGGTTGCGGTTTCATGTTGACTTTAACCATGACTTTAACTATTGTTATGTATCATGATCTCTTTTTTTTTGGGCATTTTACATTTGTCATGCATGATTCAGTTCTCTTATCACTCTTATCACTAATTCTAGTGAATTTTCGTGGGCAGAAAGATAATTTGTCTATCATCACAGAAGTCACTTTCAAATCAAGCAGGTTTCTGCTGGTCATTGCAGCGAATTTGTGTGAACAACTTAAACCTGTTGTGAAATTTGCTTGTGGAATTCTTTTGTCCTAATATGAAATTCCAGATTGTGTGGATTCCTAATTAAATTATTTCTTCATTTCACTCACAGAAATGTGCCAAACAACGATAAATGTGTCGAAATCTTAATTTTATTTGCTATAAAATTGACTGATTCTTTATTTGCAGAACTCAGACTATGTGATCGCTGTGAAGAGCTATGTGACAGATGACAAGAGCTTGCTGTCCTTTCACAGAGGCGACGTCATCAAAATCCTGAACATGGACGGCCTCAAGGACGGTGAGAAGAGAACCTGAGAAAACAGTTTCAGAATGTGGATCTCCATTGCGACACAGAATCGCAAAAAAATGTCTAAATGGGGAAAAAAAGCCATTGGTTGAGCCAATAGTGTACATGTCTGACTGTTAAAAACAGGCTTTCTAATTTGTTAATACACTAAGTTGCTGTGAAGAGCTATGTGACAGATGACAAGAGCTTGCTGTCCTTTCACAGAGGCGACGTCATCAAAATCCTGAACATGGACGGCCTCAAGGACGGTGAGAAGAGAACCTGAGAAAACAGTTTCAGAATGTGGATCTCCATAGCAACACAATCGCAAAAAAATGTCTAAATGGGGAAAAAAAGCCATTGGTTGAGCCAATAGTGTACATGTCTGACTGTTAAAAACAGGCTTTCTAATTTGTTAATACACTAAGGATACGATTTGATTAATTTATTAGGCCTGTCAGAATAGCACAGGACACATATTTGTTAGTAAGGAGCATTTTATGCAC